TTATTAATTTTATAGATTTTGATCCATATCATTCTAATTCTAGTTATTATTTGAAGTTTCTAATCTTTAAACAAGATCTGCAATTTCTAAAAGCTACAAATTATTTAGAAAATCTGCATTTATTGGAGTCTTGTCAGGTTGTAAGTAATCTTTGAAGTCAATTTTGTTAATTATAGGAAGGAAACTATCAAACTGAGCTGATAAATTGCTAAGAAATGATTCTGAACAGAAATTAAATTTATTTGATATTAATTTAATTAATTTATCTTTATTGTCACTTCTTTCATCTAATTCTTATTTACCCTATTAACATAAAATTGTAAAATTTAGTAATCATAATTCATAATATAATCTTTTAAGGTTGAAAATTTAAAATTTATTTTGGGGTGGTAATTATGAAGTTATTAAAGATTGATTGATATGAAGTACATAAAATTAATATACAAATATTACTGTAATGAAGTATCTAGACAAGTCCTTAATTAAATCAAATTATTCATCATTCATCTTATCAAATTCCAATTCCAACAAATCTTCATTTAAAAGGTTTTTAATGTCAACTCTATCAATGCTGTTTGATAACTTGAACACTATTTTTTGTAGCTCTTTAGTTAACTCCTGCGAGCAACAATTTGATCTATTGCTAATTAGCTTAGCCATTAACTAGCTTGTTGTCATTTCATTTTTGTCTTTAGTTTAAATATCTTTTTCATACAATTCTAACTTTTCTTTTGAATTATCAATTTTGAGATCTTCAAAGTTTTTGATAACAAACATATCAATTGAATCAATTAATTGCACAATATTCTAATTAATACTTTCTGCTGTTTCAAAATTAATCATTGACTTTTAAGTTTCGAAGAAATCAATCTTTTCATTCAATTCTTCTTAATATTTTTTCTAGTTAGTAGAAATTCGAGTGAATAATTCTTTAAAAAGCTCATTTTACTTGTCAAGGTCATCTTTGAAATTGGTGATGATATTCTTAAGCTATTCTTTTTCGGCTAATTTATTATATTAAATAATTACCTGTTCATTAAAGCTCCATAATGACTTTGCTTAGC